ACTGCATGACAGCTTTCGAAAGAGGTGATTTGCAATTTTTAAAAGGTAAATTAGGCCTTGAAAGAAGAGTTTTTACATGATTCGTAATGATAACAGTTCAAATGTATTTTACCAAATCACGCAATAAACACGTTGTTTTTTCTTGAGTAGCGTGAACTGATCGTGAACTCCGATTTGACCATGTTATATCGAGGTGGAATTGAATTGATTTCAATCTAAAGACTGTGTCTATCGCAGAAAGTATTTACTTACAAACAAAGAGGTGCTAATTCCACAAATTTGACTAGCCGCTACGTATCGTGCGACTAGGTCTATATTGTTTATAAATTATAATCCACGACTGGCAGGATGCATGTCGGTCGGTACGTAATTATACCAACAATCAGACAATAGTCCTCGTCGGAAGCATTTCCGTGGTGGTCACTAATTTTGAGTGACGGTCGGGGCCGACCGGCGTGGCGAACAAAGCTTTTTCACATCTGATATTGGCATGTCAAATATGAAATCAAGCGCCGAGATTCACAGGTATAGCGCCGCGGACCTCGGCGCTAAAAAGCCCTGGGGAGAACCCTGCAGTTCTTAAACTTAAAGGGGCAATTCCAGTTAAGCCTAATCTCACAACAAATTTACTTTCTGGATTAAAATTACAATGGATAACAAAAGATAGATTAACTTTGTAAACAACACAAACAATAGTGTCCCATGATTCTTTGGTGCAATCCCTGGGCTTGGAAGGTTCTCCTTTAAAATAATTTTCAAATATTAAATTCTTACCTCCGTGATGATCCAGTTCGTGTTGATGCCTATGGAAAAAACAATAATATGCAATTTAACCGAAATGAAATGAAATTAACATAAATTCACAAAAAACAAGCCATGCATGGCACAGTCCCTGTTAGTTATCAAATTTAAGATGTATAGTTTTGTTTATAGTAATATAGCTGGAATATAACCATGTCAGGAATATGATTTTTTAACATTAAAATGATTGACATTTGTATCTGATCGTCAAACAAATACTTGTCCATATTGAGAGATATTGCTCTTGAACAGCATTCAAAATCAAGCCATTTTGAATGATGTATAACGAATATATAAAATTTAAATATAACAAGCCATGCATGGCACAGTCCCCGTTAGTTATCAAATTTAAGATATAAAGTTTTGTTTATAGTAATATAGCTGGAATATAAACATGTCAGGAATATGATGATTTTTTAACATTTAAATGATTGACATTTGTATCTGATAGTCAAATGAGTATTGAGAGATATTGCTCTGGAACATCATTAATTAAAACAAAATCAGCCATTATGAATATATGTATAATGAATATATAAAATTTGAACATAGTCAGTCAAAGCATGTCAGAGATATGGCTCTAGAAGCTCATTCATTAAATCAAAATGGCCACTAGTCAGCCATTCA